CATTTTCTTACTGGCTTCTTGCAACTTTTCCATCACACTCTATTGATTATTCAAAAGGTTGGATTCAACTTATATTCACAGCCAGCAAACGTGTCAATATTTAGTTACAAAGTTGCTTTATTGGTATAAATGATAAATAATTATATATTCAGCCAATTACTGCCCAAATACGTACTGAACATAATTAAATTTTATTATTTATGACAAATTTCAATTACACCAAGCAATTTTAAATCCTATAAAAAAACCAATTTAAAGAATTATAAAATTCCACTTTTTTAATGATGATTGTTATTACAACTAATTGTAATTTTATTTTATTTGTGGCACAAACGTTTACTGCCCAAAGATTGGGTATGCAACAAGCTTCACATAGGACACGTGCGAGATGCATAACTCATAAATAATATTCTCTCCCACACAAAAAATGCCTTCTCCTGCACGCAGGTGTGTACAATAGCCGCTACAAAAAAATAATTTCATTCCCGCAGCTCACTTTTCATTAATATGATTTCCATAAAAAATATTATATTTTATGTTTTACAACAACTTATACATATACGGATTATTTTTCAAAATGTTCCCTAATGCGTATTTTCTCCTTGATTTTATTTTTCGTTTCAGAAGGAAAAGACGCCGTGCTTGTCAGTCATTTTTGTACGTTTGCGAATATCAATGCCAGTCACCGTAGCGTCGCATAAAAGCATTCAAATATATCCCCGAGTGTTTGCATTGTGGCTGCGCGCCTTCGCACACAAACAGCTAGCGAGAGCACATCCTCAGACACCGCCATTCAGATATGCCATGATATCTGTTGATAAATTTCGCCACGGGGAGTTCATAAATGAAGGATTCCGGCGTGCAATACAAACAGCGCGGACGACGCACCAAGCGGACGGGGATCAAGTCGCTCCTGTGCAAGCAATAATGCAAACCAAACTTTGATGCTGAACGGAGAGTCAGTCAGATGGATACAGTTGGATATCTTGCAGAGAGTTGTAGAGAGCTTTATATAGGGTGGTGGATTTCATTTATTATACATATTTCCTATTACAATACCATCCTAAGCACGTACACAGCATATTGATTAAAAGTAAATTTCAATACAACATTATCAGCATTCAGATTTGTTACATAAAATATAAATAATTAAAAAAATATTTTATCAAGGTTTAGATGATCACTCTCAAATTTGTTGCATCAATTAAAAATAAAAATAGTAAGAAATTATGTTTAAAGTTATTAAACAATAAAAATTTAATAAAATGCTATTTAACAAGTTAAATATAAATTATATTATTAAATTTTTTCGTAATTACTTTATACAATAGAATAAGTTTAAAAAATAAACAATAATAATAAATGAATAATAAACTTTTTCAAAGAGATGCATGATTGTTTGAAACTAATTTGAATGCATTTATTATTTTTACAATTATATTTGAATAATACGTCTTGAGTAATTTGATTGATTCATAATTGGTTATTTTCCTCCACCCTAAGTTATCCCTGCATTCAAATGTGCCCGCCTTACTCTCCATTATGTTTGCGCACACACCCTGTTGCGGCCGTGGGGGTCAGAAATGAGACATCGACGAAATCTCCTTAGCCACGCACAGACAAACTCATCAAATTAGCATGGCCGGCGGCTGAAGGAGTTCAAAAGAGGCCAAGGAAGAAGAATGGTCAGTGCACCCACCACTGCTACTAATATGTGCACACAGGCTTGTTTCACATCTTCTTGTACAAATCCTTGCATTACCTTTCAGTTTAGTCTCAAGCAAGTAATCAAAGGCAACCCCCTTTGAAGTCGTGCAATTTCTTACCCTTGAGAAATTCTTCGGACTTGAAAGTGAAATATTTCCGCTAATTTGTTCGCTCATTTCATGAATGTATATTTAAAAAAAAAACGTCAGATAAAAAAGAGTGGGTATCAATTAACTTGTGACGACGCTGGATTAATTTCCGTTGTTCAAAGAAAAAGAAGCAATCAACAAAATACGGCGGCTTATAAAAAGAAGTCTTTCAGTGACAGCGGCGGCGTCGCAGGCGGAGGATCATTTTTGATTATTAAAAGACTCGGCCTCGCGGGTGGCGGAAAAATTCAAAGATTAATACATATAAAACGCAATTTTTGCGTCCTTCAGTTTGTGAATCTCAAATTGAAAAGAGAAAAATTAGAAAGAAAAAAGTAGCGAGCGCATGCAAAGGGTGGCGAACGAAAAGCCGCACGCGGCGCGCGAGGGGGTTTGTGAATTGAAGAGAAGAAGAAAGGAAGAGACTCCCCGCTCTCGGCGAGAGAGAAAAGTTTGCGTCATGTAATTACTACCATAAATACCGTGTATATATTCATTTCTAGGTCTTATTTTGATGTTGCTCTCTTGCCTTTTGATGAAAGTCAGAGTAGCATGCGGTGGCGGCAGCAGTTAGAGCGGAGAAAAAAGATACACACGTACCGCTCACGGTCATGGTAGCGTCGAAAAAAGTTGCAAAAGAGAAAAGAGCAAGCCGACTTTGCAACGATGATCCATCATCCACTCTTTATAATGTGAACCCGCGTATACACCCCGGCTAAGAAAACATCCGTAATTATTTATCATTTGAAGCGAAAAAATATTTTATGTTCGTCTGACTCTTTTCTGTGCGAGCTCGCCGTTTTCATTCTCCGTAATGTGGAGCAGCCTTCTGGCTGGAAAGCTCTCTCTCCACTCCTCTGATGTTTTAAATTATTCCTGCTGAAAAAAGGGAGGAGATGAGAAGGCCACTGCGAATAATCTCCGCACGCTCTCTTTTTGCACCCTTGAAGCGCCCCTCGCGCACACAAAAACTCGGAAAAATTAAGTTGCAGCATTAAGTAAGAGCGAGGGCCGCTCGCTTTTTTTGTACAAATTGCAAATGATGAAATGCTCTTTATGAATGCCCGGCTTGAAAGAAGAGGATTTTAGCTAAATGGGACATTTTCGGCGAGTTTCTTTGAATTAAAAGTCGTGTGCTGCGCGTACATACGGTGTGGTGCACTCTTAAAAACCAGATTATGCGAATTTTTGACTTATGAAACCTTTAATTATGCGTTATTATTAATGTAATTGAGAGGAAATTGCAATAATACCGATAGCGTTTGGTCAGAATCCCATTAGATTTGGAACCATTACATGGCGCAGAGGGATCTAATTGAAAGAGAAAATGTTCTAATTTTACTATTAGAAACGAAAATTCGTTGCAAAAACTAGAGAACTGAAACTAGAATTGAATTTAAATTTATTAATACCCGAGTAAATTGAAGTTAATTTATTATTAAGCTTTTTTAACGTTTTAAAACATTGAAATTCAAATGTAAAACTGAAAATCATCATCAATTATATTTTGAACCAAAATGATAATAGTGATCTTAGTTCTCATTAAAAAAAATAGTAATTAATATTTTAAAAATTACAAAATATGTATATATTTCTTGATGTGAGTAGGCGGGTCATTGGCAGTGCGATTGCACTTACAAATTGAATACAAACAAGCGCACAAAGCAAGTGAATGGACCATTGTCGCGCTCCATTCCTAGAAAGCAATCTCGTGATTAAGTGGCGTATCATAAATTACAGGGCCTCGAACTTTCGCAGGAACCAGAAGTGCACATTATAGTGCGGAGGAGAGGCGCCCGGCAGCAGGAGCCATTCATCAGCGCTCACTTTGTGTAATAAGTCTCGAATGGAGAGAGAGACAGAGGTCGGTCCACGGTGACAGACAATAGGCCTGAATTATGCGCACAATAGCGGATGATTTTCCTTCGGCGCTCATTACACAGCCTTTGTCGGACTGCTTTCCCTAGCTTTTGTCCTTTCGCGTCAAGTGCAAAAAGAAAAAGAGAGCTCAAGTTCAAGGGGGTGAAATTATCGAGGTTTGTTTTATCTCGATGGACGGTCTTTGTTCGGCGAAATAACCCTTTTGATGGAAAGGCATGTACAACTTCATCTCGGCGAATGACAATTAGAGATTTGCAAAGGCCAAATGCCAAATGATGAAGAAGGAGGAGTGCGCAAGAAGAAGAAGAAGAAAAGTATAAAACATAATGCAATTACCAGCTCGCTGATTCTCCTTTGTGCTAAATTTTCTTGAGCGAGCAACCGAGGCACCGCCGCCCTACGTGAGCATAAAGAGCGGGATTGATGAAATGAATAGCAAGGAAAATTTCTTTCTCTCGACCCTCTTTGCTGTTACGGGCAGTGAAAAAGGAAATTGGGTGTTCTTAAGAGCAACTTCTTATTGGCATTTTCTTTTTCTGTTTTATTTTGATCAATTAAAAATTTCGCGCAAGAGTTTAAATTGATATTATTTTTTTCAAATTATCAAACAGAAAATTTTTTCTTTTTGGCAAATTAATTCTATCAATTTATTTTTGCACTCCCCTAGACCATCTCCAGCGTTTTTCTCCTCATCATCATTTCTCTTCTGGGTACTGCTGTTGTCGTCAAAAGAGAGAACCGACTTTTCCATTTGTCGCTGGCAAAGGCATTTTGCTCTTTCATATATTACATAAAAAGGAAACTTTGCACAATTTGAGGAATTGCTCTTTCCTCTGCTCTGCCCTCTTTCTCTCCGACAGCAGAACACACACGTGCTCGTGCAGCGCCCTGGTATTAACTCGCACGTCATAATTCATTTTGCAGCAATTTGCTTTTCTTTCGCCGCGAGAGATGCACACGCGTTCTCTCTCACTCGCTTTTATCCATTATCTAACGCTATTCACCAGAAAGACACGCAGCGTAATCTGATGAGAGATGCTCAAGTATTCTGGTCACGCGCTAAATTCAATTTTCAGTTAGTCTTCTTACTTGCGTTTAACAATGAGTAAATCTCTTTATCTCTTTGTCGCATGATTTGAATGAGAAGTAATGGTGAATTTCTGAATCATAAATTTCTAATTTGTTCATTTAGGAGCAATTTAAAATTTATTTATTTTGTAGGGTTATTTTAAGAAGTAAAGTAAATGGTAGATCGTTCCTTACCTTTATTTACGTTGGAGTATCCCAATCAGTGACGTTCACGGTATTTATCTAGAACAAAAGAAAAAAAAATTTAAATTATTAAATTAATTAATAATTAATTATTATTATTAATTAAATTTATTTTAAATTACAGTAAAATTATTATTTAAATAATTAAAATAAAAATTCTTTTATTTTTGAATTTCTTTCTTAAATTTTATTTATTTTTAAAACTGTAATGATTTTTCATTTTTAATTAGGACTTCAAAGGAAAAGTATGGCAAAGAATAATTTAATATTTTGTGTGTGAATATCATGCGCATTGACAGTTTATTGGATATAATTCAGATTTTAATGCACATCACTTAATTCTTACTGCAAATTAGTTAGAACTTCATTAATATTATTTATTCTTCTCATTCATCGTTAATTACTTTCACTGTTTAACGAAATTAATAACGGAAATTATATGAATTAACTGAGTATTAAAATTTTGCCTCTGACAATTAGTCCCTGAATTCAAATCCTGTCTGACAATTGTTTTTCTGAATATGTAAAATTTATTTAATAATTCGGTAAAAAATAAACCTTTCTAAACCTAAAATTTTCATTATGCCTACTTTGTTCATTTCACACAATGAAGAGATTAGAAGGCGACAATCCAAATTAATTAAAAAAATGTCGATTATTTCAGACACCAAATTTGCAAAGAGACTGAGCGTGTGGCGCGGAAAGGGCGTCTCTTCGACAAGGAGCATTAACTAAGAGATCAATGCTAAGCAAATTAACGCTCAAATTGCGTAATCTAATTAGTCAGCAAATTGGCACAACACTTTGACGCCGCCTCTCTCTACCTGATTCGCACGCGAGAGGGCGCACAATAATTAGATGTTAGACGTTGTGTTAATGCCGCGGTTCCAACGCAGCTTTGTGCGCCCCTTAAAACTAAGTTGCTTTAATTCATTAGCAAGTCCACTTTGATCTCTCGGCGCGCTGACAAAATGCGGCCGTATCGCATCATCCGCCCGTATTATTCATCATCACACGGCAGCACTTGGCAACGTATAATGTTATGTCCCTTGCAAGATCAATTATTGCTCAGTGCTCGCAAACAAACGAACGAATGAGCACATGTACATATAAATTCAGCTCTTTTTGTTCGGACGCACCCTCCTCCCTTATAGTCGCCAAAAGTATAGTGCTCTGATGCGCCCACTTGTTCCCTGTGTGTTATTTCAGAGATGGACACAATCAACTCATCCTGTTTGCATTCAGTTCAAAAGAGAGTGGAGAGGCAGAAGTGTTATTTAGAGCGCTGGATTTTGGATCTTGAAAATTAGCTTTAAAATTAGTGAACCAAAGTTGGTGTAACAAAGAGAGCTGTGAAAATTTAAATTATTTTTTATATTGATGAGTTGATCTACCAAGTAATTAAGTTTTTGTGTAACGAAACAAACATCAATTTCATTAAATTTAAAAAGGAAATACATAAAACAAATAATAATTATTTAATATATATATTATGTGAATGAAAATTTTATAAAATTAATTTCTAAAAAAAAAAAAATAAGCACAGATGGATGGGATCGGTCTTTTTTATCTTGGAAGTTTTAGCCAATTCTTTGCTGGTGCATTTGTCCAACAATTCAAACAACAATTTCTTTCTTTATGTAAAATTTCAAAAAAATAATTTTTTCAACAATTCGGACGAATAAACAATAATGATAAAAATTAAAAAAATCTTGAATTTCAATTTCAGTAGAATTTCTTTGCATGATTTACAATATTCAATTGTTACTAAAACTTGTCGAAAATATTCAATACGTTTGTGTTAGCATTGAATCGTTTCATTCCAAATATATATCCAGAAAAAAGGAACTCAAATCTATATCAATCAATTGCTGAAACTCACCACTCGCGAACGTGGCCAACCAAAAGTGTATTTCCCATTTATCAAAAGCCCCAGCAAATATTTATCTCCTTTCAAAGCGCCAAAGTTTCCACATGCACACATCGTTCCTCCACAGAATTTTTCCTTTTTGCCAGGGCTGGAAGCCAATAAAAGCAGTCGGAGAAAAAGGCGCTCTCCGATATAGCTCGGCAGCCCAGTGTTTTCTAATCGGCAAATGAGACGTCCACATTAAAGTTTAAAAAGCAGAGGCACCCCGCAAAATGCTGCTGCGTGCGTTCTTTTGCCCGCCGCGCATCTCTACACAAACATTGCAGGCCCGCCGCTTTTCCAACACACTCAGACGGCCTCTTTCACAGGGAGGAAAATAGAGAGAGAGCGTGGAAAAAATTGGACGAGAAAAAAAGATCAAGTGGAAGAAAAACAAGAGCCGTAGAAATAAAACTCGATCGAGTTGGATTTTTGATCGGGAGAATTTTTTGTGAATTATATAAAAGTGGCAGAATAAAAAGATTCATTCAGCGAGTTAAAAGTTTTTCGAGTTTCGCCCACAGATCACCGATTAAATTTGTTCAGTCTCCTGCGCCCTGGAAAGACAATAATATAAACGCTGGGCGCCCTTCAATGGTTTGAGAAATATTTGATTTTCAATTATATTCAGAATGAGACCGGCCGATAAAATTTAATGCAGCCAATAAAGTATCGGGGAATGGTCGCTCATTAGGAACGAAGAATCATTGAAGCGCAGCATTGAAAAAATCCAGGCCTTTTTAAAATAAAATAACAATAAAAATAAATCTGCCACTCGGCGCGCAACAATTAATAAATTCCACCGAGCTAGATAATAGTTTCCGAAAGTGGCGTTTGGTAGTTTGACAAATGGAAATCTCGTGTTAATCTCGAGTCGTGGAAGAGAATGCACGAGAAGTGCGACCAAATTAAAACCAGCTGCAAGGTATATAGAAAAATAAAATCCTCAGATGTGTATACGGTGTATTTATTCTTCATATTGTGACGGAACCAGTTTGATCAGAGCTTTGACATGCAGAGGAGTTGCGCAAGAAAGCTTCCTCATCAGCGGAGGTTAATGGTGCGAGAAATGTTATTTCCTCAGACTTTCTTCTCTCGCGCTTTGGTGAGAAAATTCCGAAGATTCCGTCTTTGAAAATAACTTCGGTCGTTAACGAAATATGTTAAAATCATCGGCCAATATTTGCAATTTTACGACGTGAGGATCTTTTAATTATTTCTTCAAAAACATATTACAGGCTTCACAAACCAAAAGCTCGTTTTAATTATTTTGGGCAAATGGTTTCCTGTTCTTTTCGTCTCGGACAAGTTAATCAAGCGAAACAGTTAGACGAAATTTTAGCACAAAGGGTACACACAATTAAAAAATGAGAGAGAATAATGGTCAAGAGCAATAAAATGTTTTTAATTGTCGAGTTTGAAAAGTGCCGGCTGCGGCCTTAAGGCAGGCGCGCGTATGCGCGCAATTTTAGTTCTGACGCCGCGATGATGACGACCGGCAGGTTCAATGACTCGGCGCATCATCTTGCGGCGCGGCTTAATTTTTTGCCTGTGAGATGAGATTCTTATCTGCTATCTATAAATCCCGGGTTTATTGCTCGGGCATTTTCCTGCAACGTCTTCTTCAAATGTGGGCCATAAACTATTCAAAATATTCCGCGAGATGTGCGCCAGCAGATATTGATGAGATTGTCGACCGCTTTGATGGTTTATTTTTCGTTTTGATGTTTTTATTTCGGGCCGTTCGCATACGCACAAAGTACAACAATCTCGGGCATTTTATCGCAGGAATATCCATATTTCAAGTAAACCATGTGCTCAAGAAGATTCCAAGTGGAATAACTCCGCAAGCACAAGATCAAGATAAGTGCGCAATTTCGCCGAGGGAATCGAGATCCGAAATGAGACTCGTGCTTTTATTATTATTCTTCTTCTAATAACATAATTAGGAACTGCAAATTACGTCAAAGAGGAAGAATTTTTGCAATTAATATGTGAGTCTAATGCGAATGAATAAATTAAAAATTGAAAAATTATTTCCACAGCAGTGAATGCGACCAAGGCATATTTTCAACGGTTTTTTTAAGTACAACATGAAGAAATGCTTCGGTATGTACAAATAAAATTTTTATACTTTTTGACTAATCAAGTCTAAATGAGTGTCTAGTTTACAGTTAAAAAACAAAAATGTGAACTATAAATGTATGTCCAATTGATCTAAATAAATAAAACTTTATGAATATCGATATAAAAATAATCCGTTTTAAAAATATTTTTAAAGAACTATCCTCTGCAATCACGTTTTTATTCTTTTAAATTGTTTTAAATCCACTTCCCCATTTAATTAATTTGCATAAAACCTGCCTGTCTGCCTTCACAATTTCTCCAATTAGACTCGCTTGATAACTCATCAGAGCTGAACTGAATAAATAAAATAAATTATTGTTTCAGCTGCAAGAAAGGCGGAGAAAATTCTGCACTTCTTCTTTTCTCTCCGCCGAGTTAATTACCGCTTGACATAAATAATAAACGGTGCCGCAGCTATTTCTGACCGTATATCTCTCATTCTGATGCTGCAGGAAAGAGAGACGTGTGTAGGAAAAAACACAAAAGGTTCGTTAACCTAAAGTTGTTAAACTCTCAGTACAGATAAGTGGATGATGCCATAGCCAGCTTGGATGGTCACTCGCGTTAATACTGCCCACAAAGACTCAATAACATTAATTTGCAGCGACCGGCACAAGGATAATGGGCGCAATTTCTCCACCTTGTCGATATCGGGAGGTGTGGAAAATAAAACGAAATTAATTTTATTATGTAGAAAATCGCGAAAATAAACATCAGGTTGGAAATATGGTCAAGGGACGATCACAAAGTAATTTATATCTAAAATAAAAGAAAACTCGTCCCATTATACGTTTGATCCCTTTCGCTCGCGGCCAGATCAGAAGCGATTTTATTATTTTAACGAACAACCGTATATACCTGTATATTATAAATACATATATTTATGCACGTATGGATATTTTCAAGGAGAGAATCAGCTTAAAATTTTCATTCACAATCAGCAGGAGCAGGGCCATTAATCATCGCAAACGTCAGCCCGAGAGCCGAGCGTATGGAAAAAAAT